CCAAGCGGAGAAGGAGCTGCTCAGAGCAGGAGTCAGACGAGGCCAGAGAGGTAGGAGAGGTCAGCAGAGGTTGTGAGGGGCCACGGGTGGCGAAGGGTGGCCGAGGGGCTGGGAGGCGCCCTGCGACTTACGTCTTGACACGCTACATCTTTGGGGGCCCAGGCGCGTGTCCAGAAGGAGCGCAGCGGGGAAGCAGCTGTGTGCGGGGTGTCCTGGAACGGAGCTGAGCAAATGAGCACTGAGGGCCCGAAGTGGCGGATCTTGCCACTCGCCGGCGGGGCCCACGTGGTGTCTCTGCCGGTCGGGCTGGGGAGGCAAGGGGCGGCCAGACAGTGGCCCACAGCCTCCCTGGGCGGCCTTGACCCCACCACAGCCGGCCACCCTCAGGGGACCTGAATCAGCAGGTCGGGGATGGCCTGAGGCGCTGCGTTTCTGGGGTGGCCCAGATGCTGCCCTGGCCTGGGGGTCACACTTTGAAGACCCCTGCCCTGCAGGATGACAAGTGACCCTCCAGTCCCTTAACTCCCTGCTGTCACACTCCTCAGGGCCACCCCTTTGGAAAGCAGCTAGGATGAGAGTCAGGCAGGGCTCGCCAGGCGGCTTGTCTTGGAAAGGACTGGCTTGGCGCCTGCCCGCGCCTAATCCCCGTGGCCTGATTTCCCAGGTGACATCATAAGGCCCTTCTGCTGTGGGTCAGTGTGGGCCACTGGAGAGGGTGGCCTCCTTCTCACCCCTGCCAGCCCCCTCATTCCCTCCCCCCCCATGAATTCCTGCTGGTATGTTGACTTGAAGGCCGTCCTTCCCCAATGCCCATGGCACCAGCTGTCTTCGTGGGGTGCAATAAATAGCAAACCTCATCCTTTTAGTGTACTTTGCTGTCTTTCTTTCTTTCTTTCTTTTTAAAGATTTATCTATGCAAATAAGAATTGTGGTACAGGCCAGAGGTGTGGGATGGTGAGTGTCCATAGGGCTGTGTTCCTTTTTAAAAAAAAAAAAAGATTTATTTATTGATGCATACAGAACTGGGGTACAGCTAGAGATGCAGGGGCAGTGAGAGGCTTCACCAGAGACAGAGTGGGGAGCAGAACAGGCAGATGGACAAAGTACACT